GCCGTAGCAACTCCAGTTTTCATGCCCTGGAACACCTACCAGTTTAGCTAAATAAAAGTGTAGTGAGAACCAGTAAAAGTTCGTTATAAGATCACCTGGCCGAAACCAACCAAAAAGTTAACATTGAAGAATATTCTCTATGATCTATCGGGCACTAATTAAACCGTCGACAGCATCCAAGTACTGAGTATTCTAACCAACGGAGGCTACTACAACACCTAAAACAACTGGTGCTTCTTGTGCAAAGGAAATAGGGGTACCTCATGTTGCTGCCCTAGCCTGCTGTGGAAACTACAATTCATTTATTCTCCATTACGTCGGTCTTTCAGTTATGTTCCCCCATATTTTCTCAATATCAGTCTGTGTGTAAAGTGTTCAACTGAAGAGTTCTCCACAAATTGAATGAATTCATCAAATCACTTTTAACTGGGTTTTGCTGCCTGTCATACATGGAATAAAGCCCGTCAGATGTGATCAACATCAGGCTACAGTGGGTACCACTTCAGGAATGAACGAATAAAATGACAACCATTTGATTAGATATAGCGACAACTCACTCAATTTAACTGATTTCTGACTTCAGATGTATAGGCCTTAGAAAACATTCAAGTATTCTTGTGTATCCATATATGCATATAATTTGACTATTTTTATTGGTTAATGAATTTGCCATTGAGTATACTGAGTGATCAAATTCCTTTCCGTCTGAGATTGTGTATAATATTTACGAAATGTTTAAGCACATCAAAGTAAAATGTCACCATGCAATAAAAGGATTATTAGGCTTATTGAGAAATTAACAGAGTTTTTTCAAATGGAATATATGCTGTCAATGGTGTAAAGGTCTTCAAAGGACACAGATCATTTCAGTTCAGTCGAGTTATTCATGTTTCTTACACATTTAGCCTCCCTGATAACACTGAATACTGGGACGGGAAATTTTTTAATTTCTCCTCTTTGATAGATCCAGAATGATAATTTGCGGTAAAAAGTTATACTGAATAAAACAAACGTCTCAGCTATGTTTAAATTTCAAATCACAGGATTTGTATAAAATTAAGTACTCTGTGTTTCATATCAATTTAACAGATAGAATTTACAAATGTCACATTATGAAGTTTCTGTGCTCTCTGTCATAAAGTGCACTGTCTGCGTGGGTCAGTATGTGAAAGAGCACGACAATGCGTGAAAGGTAATTTGCGTGGCAAATACAGCAATGTGCAACTGTTCAATTCAACAATAAATGGATTAGAATATAAAATATGTGATAGAGAATAAACATGGAGAAGTAAACTAAAGTAAACAATTGTTGTCCATCATGTGAGTCAAATTTTAATGGGAAACAAGAGTTATGATTGCGAAATAACGACGTGGCACGAAAATGTGGAGTGAGATAACTAAAAGGCCGGCATATACAGTATTACTGCATGTGTAGATACCACAGAAGGCCAGAGAGGTATAATAATTGGCTGAACTATTTCGTTTGCACATAGGGAACTGGTCATTTATGCCGAATTTCACTATCTTCTGATGGTTAGAATATTCGTTGCCTTGAGAATCTGAGTTTTGTATGCGCATCTCGTTAACCGGAAAATGCACTGCTGTTTGTCCCAGTTATTTGCATATGAATAGACGTTTATGCTCGTTTTTATGAAATTTTTGGTGTTGCAAAATTCATGGATCCAAATGTGAAAACACCATCGGTTGATGATTACGATACGTGTCATACAGAAAGGGCTGCAGCGAATTATTACATTTTCCATAGAGTCTTTAACCGTTTTGAAAAGGGGAAAGACTGTATTATCGGAGATGTTTTTTTAACTGGGTTTTCCACTAATGTGTACTTGCGGTATGTAAAATACCAGTCAGTATTCGACCTAATTGTTTTCTGTTGCGATGTGTTTGTGATGCATCTCGTTTGCCCAATTATCTGCTGTGGTACACCTTCTCCATCAGAATATGATAAGTCATTGTGTTTTCTTTAGGTAATTCATGTTATATATGGACTACTGGAGGTGTGGAACACGGAGGAATGCTTCGTACTCTCTTTCAGATTTACAATATGCACAATTGCAGATTCAATTGGCATTCACCGTCTCAATTGTTTCGGAATGTACAATTCGCTACTCGTGAATAAATATGCACAACTTAGAATTCTTAGGGTCAACAAATAATATTAAGTAACAGACAGACTCTAGGCGTCCTCGAATAACGCAACACCACATTTCTGCACTTCTCACTTGTGAACCGTTATTGTCTGGCGCATTTATTTCGCTTTATCTTTCTTCATTTTCACTGTCGTACCTGGGAGGTCTCGAAAATTGGTTAGTATAGGAGTGCACTAGATGATGAATTCTTTATTACGCGGCCATGATCCATTTTCCACGTCTCAACATCTTTAACGAACGTGCTTCGAAGTAACCGGTTAGGGAGTGATTCCATGAATCTAAGCTATTTTGGGTGTCTCATGGCTACTATCTATGAAAGACAGTGTTCATCAAGATGTTGAGGAACAGATTCTAGTCGAGAGAAGAAACTGACCAACAGATTAGCTATGTCTGAATCCCAAAATTCCTGAAATATAAGTGCAAGAAATATCCTTTTTGCTTAAATAAGCGTTATAAATTAAAAAGGCATGTTGACAGAGTATAATGTTTCAATATTACTCGGTTTCTACATACCTAATTCAAATATTAATCGCAGATCACGAGCATAACAGTTAAGCGAAACATGATGTTGTCAACTTCTAAGCTATCCGGTTTTCGACCGTATAACATTTTTCAAAGGTAAGTGTACACCGATGTGTTCTGGGTAAGAATAATCATATTGGTAATTCCATCCTTCTCAAATGGTTTGACATACCGCCTCCCTAGAGCAAAGCAAATTCCAATAGCAAGTCACCTGGAAGAACCTTACTAGACAGGACATGACCTCATGCATACTAAAAGATGAGAATTAATTTCTGGGTGACTACTTCGTCCATTATGGTTGGCACCGAATGGTAATTTTGCGAGGTGGACTGACTAAAAACCACTTCTATTCTTGACGTTCACTTTGGTTTGTAAATGAGTAAACGATTTACTAGAAATCAAACATTTTTAACCTACAAGAAAGACAAATGCCAGATGATCACTGAAAATTGGTGTTTCACTTAGAAATACATATTTTCCCAAAATGATTAGCAATGTAAATGAATCAAATGAGAATTACTGAACTCTTTTCACGACTTTTTGAGCTCATACAAAGTAGTGATCTCACATGCATATCGATGAACACTTTGATGACATAATAATAAATCTGTGCTACCTGGATTCGTAGCTAATCCATGGATATTCGTTAATTAAGTATCGTACCAATAGCCGAATGCACTTCATTTCTATACAGAAGTAACACGGTGATAAAAGTTCCTCATCACACTTTTGACAATCATGTTTATATATATCCCGAGATCTCAATTCTCTAAAGTAATTCTTAGAAAAATAGGTTCCTTAAATCAACCTTGCATAAATCACTCAACTCAACCAGATTCACAGCATCACGTCACACACTCCACCGTTTCAAAGACGAATTCTACCTCCGAAAATAATAAGTAGCTTAGAAAATAAGAAATAATATGCAGATTAGTGGCTGAAAATGTTAATAAAAAAACATTATTACCTTATGTATTTCCAATACTGACTAACTTATATCTCAAGAAGCATATTCATTATTTCTTTATTGGATATTGTCAAAAGAAAATATCTCTCATATGTTAAAGTGGTATTCCGAAGATTGTCTTTGTATTACGAGAATATAACATATACACCATCAAGCAAAATGTTTCTTGATAATCTGAATGCTTGAAGAGTGTTTCATCCTCTCGAAGTTCATGAATATGTTAGAATTCATCAGTCAGCTAGTTGATACTATAAGTTCATCATGTTACTAAGACTTTCAGTTACCTGGAAATCGGTTTGGTGTTACTTAGTCTGAAAAACTTACACATCCCTTCCGCAGAGAATTTTCAACCACAATTCGTACAATGGGTTTATTTTTATTATACACGTAGCTGTTTCATCAGTAGTTTGTATATATAAGGCTGACGTGAAAAATCACACACAAGTACAATAGGAGGTTAAATGGAAATGTACTGGGTGGACAGAATGTTGGGCTTCCATCCGATTTTCAAAGCATGTCACAAGAAATTTATGTCTAAAAGTAAGCAGATAGTTAGAAAGTGAAATTATTTAACACCTTGTAGATATGGCTCATTTCGTCAAGCATTTCAAATCCTTCCAAATATTGAACACACAGAGGATACGAAATTCACTACGGTTTGCTAGAGCAATTGCGATCAATCGTTTCAAACTAATAGTATGCATGTGGAGTGAATGTATGTGTATTCGATTGATATCTCACTCTCTTGATTTCATTGATTAGTCATCCATTATAGTGAATGATAACAGCTCACCGAAAAAGTTTCAAATTTTGTGAACCATAACCTTCTTTATTTGCTATAAAAACCTATAAAGCTATCACTGTTGGTTGGATTTTTGTGCTTTCCCACTTCTGCACCACCCTTAACTTCTTTTTTACTTTGAAAGCATGTAAATTGGTGTTTAACTTAACTGAAAACTGTAATGCTTGCACTTCAGATGATACTGTCTTCTCTGCTATCATTCAAACATTGAATTGTGTAATTGTCAATTTTATAACCATTGCAATTTCAGATAGTATGCAGATGATGAGAACCTGTGACATACAGCGATGTCATTTGATGTTAAAAGTCTGGTCGTTCCCGCTTCCTTTATCGAAATGCGTAATAAATTAGTCCAATAACACTACTTCTACAACAAATTCAGTACAGTGATGCCCCATTTTATATGAACAAGTTGATCACTAAGATAGAAAACCAAGAAATAATCTTAGAAGCCATTATCGCATTCAAATATGCTGCGATTTCACTCAGGAAGAAAATAAAATATCCCATTTGCATCATCCAGCTGAGGCATAGCGAATACATGAATGTAACAACAAGTGAAGATGAAGCTGGTGAAATGTCATGTCTGCTAATTTGTTTGTTTGACGATACTGGCGCTGTTAGTCGAGCGTGTTAAGGAACCATCATGGATGTGCTTACAGTTCAAGTGTGAGACCAGTTCAGAAACATGGTAAGACAGTCAGTTAAATTAATGCAGTAGGGGATATGAAGTGTATTTGGAAACTGTAGGATGAATAAATTCAGTTAGTAGTTGATTGCAAACATTGATTGGAATAAATTCTGTGAAATCAATAATATGTACTCAGCTATGGAATACACAGTTAAATATTTCTAACCAGTCGGTAAAGAAATGAATTTCAAATCCATGGCGTGAAATTTGATAACTGTCCCCACATTCACTATAATCAATGTTGAAAGATTGAGTCATGTTCACTTGTATACGACTCAGTCGCCTAGATAGTGACGTCATCAGAGAGATGAGTCATCCCTTACTACTGCAAAACCCTCATCATGAATGTACACTACAAACATTCGCGTAGCCAACAATCAAATGATTAATGTTTCGGTGGGTTTCCACTAATCATTTGCAATGATGTTTACATATACTACTACACTAATTCCTGTGTAGAGTCTAAATTAGTGGATATACGTCCAAACCAAGTTCAGACTTGTTATTATCAGAAATGATGGGCACTGAGTGTATGATATGTATTCCTACAGACAAATTTTGCAATTCTCAATGAATGAGAAACTAAAACGATACCGTATTTATTGCCATTGAGCTATTTATTGCTTGCGGATTTGTCAAAACAATATTAAGACGGAATTTCATAAACGTTTACCCAGTAGTAAACTTGAACGAAGCTAGAACGACGGATAAATCAGGTTAATATGAGCATATATTTTATTAATTTGAGGACTCCGCTCATTATGCTGCAGCCTGAAGAATACAAAAATATAAGTCACATTGGAGATTTCATCAAAGTGTTTTTCGTGATAGCAATGAGCTGTGGAGAGATACTAAGAGAAAAATAAGTCCTGAATGATGCAAGTTGTTGAACTGATAAGAATTGAAAGGACTGATTATTTGCAGAATAATCAGATCAATACTGTTGAGAACTGAGTTCAACTGTGTTTTGATAGAAACAAAGTTTCACTATATGGAGTAAAGCAACATAAAAATTTGCGTAACTACAGAGAACATGCTTTTGTAAAATATCGAAAAGGGAGTAAGGTGAGTGACGTTGAGATGAAACAATGGAATATTTTTATACACAGCAGAAATTAAAGAAGAATACATTTGCAAAATCCAAGTGAATAAACCATGAGGTAATTGGTAATTTAAGCTGAGAATATGATTGAGAAATTTTGAACAATATTTTGAAGAGAACGTCTCCGTGAGGGCTACTGTGACCTGACCACAGGACGATGAGGTAACTGGTACCACCTCGCGCAACTCTGAATTAACGTCAGCAAGAATAAGTGTCATAATTCTTCCAACGGCCACAAGAAATCAATATATAGTAGTGTCCACCATTTTGCTGGAAGCCATGCTTCAGGATGTCCTCTGATTGGAATCTTGGTATGGTATCAACATGAGTGAGAGCGGTTAACAAATTTTGTTATATTGGTGTCCATGCTTCTCCAGTAGGTATAGGCCTTGTCGGTAGACTTCATGTTCGTGACACCAGAGTACCCTTTGTGAGACTACTTCAAATCTGCAATGTGCAAATTTTCTGTAATAACCATATTCTCCGAACGTCAAGCATTCATTGACGATACTGACTGCAACAGAACGGGAGAAGGACAATACTTAGAGATATCATTAGAATTCTCTATATCCATAAAATATCTGGCGATTCCCCTTTGTGAATACCTTTCACATGCTTGTCGTGCTCATACAACATGTTAGAATCCGGTAGGATGTATTTTGCTACCAAAACTGCATGAGTTTTATAAATTCAGTTGACAATGGCATCAGAAAGCCGGCTGTACAGTAAAGCCTGGCTTATCGAATACGTGTATGAACACTCGTTTACTATCAGGCATCTCAATGGACTGGGCATAAAAACAAACTGAAACTTTATTGATTACCATTTTAAAAGTTTATCCAAAAATATGATGAAAATAAGATCATGGCAAATATCATTCTTCCCCTTTTCTGGAAAGCTGATAATACTGATGTTACTGGAATTCGAATAATTATTCTCAAATAATCCGGTGTTTAAATAAAGACTGAGAACTTATGACTCTCTTGAGAGTTTCTACAATTCTGAATTCCCATTTCTAATATTCAGTCTTTCATTCCACTCAGTTTCCATCACCTGACTGTTTGACTTCCACACTTATAACAACATTTGGAGAGTTTCACATTTTTAGGAACAGTCACCTCCTTTGTTATGTTTGAATTAGGCTTTAGGAAGACAAATATCGTGAGACGATATAATTCCTTTGTTTCGTTACAACTGCCGTGGTTTACAATGATAAAGTAAAATAAATATTAATTAACAAAAATTAATATTATGTAGTAAAAGTCAGTTATACTTTTGTTGGTGAAGTAGACCATGGAGAAAACAATTTTGAAGTCTGTTTTTACTGATCACACAGTTTTCAATATATGTGACTAATATAAAAAGGTTCAATTAACTTTAATAATCTGGAAAAAATGTTATTAAAGTTACATGTGATGATTGAGAAGTAGCCACTCTTATTGATGACCAAACATTAATAAATGTTTAGCGAAAAATGATACTAAATTTGTATTCAGATTATGTACCTATAAAATTGTATGTGACTTAATAACTGTTGGGGAACATATTCTTTCCAACGATATCGCAATGTTTCGTTGGTCCTACTTATATATATATATATCTCCGTAACCGCAGGTGAATATCGTCCTTAAAGGAAAGTACAGGGTATTGACAATGTTCGACATGTCAGGAAAAAGAGACGGTGAAGAATGTGCACTTGGTGGCTGACATAGGCTTTTGAGCCATTAGCTGAATGATCTGGTCACCCTCGAATAGTAGTTCAATGCAGATAGGTCTCCTTACTGCGGAATCTGTGATTTCAAAGGCAGTTTCAGTTTACGGTGACGAACAGTGACGTCTTGCAGGAAACTATCACCGAATAGAACTGAATGTATTTGATGTAGCACACCCATCAATGTGTCGCTCTTGTGAATTACACGGATATTTCCTAGGGAGCATTTGCATTGGAAATGAACACAACTGCTGAAATGAAAGTAATGTTCACCCCACATCTGCTTGCAAAATATGGATCTCATCTGGTTATATTTATCTTTTTACTGCCTTATTTTAATTTCACATTTGACAGTGAAATTGGTTAGACTGGTCATTCCCAACTTGCCTAATGCTCCTCTAGGCAGCCAATCTGTCAATACCTAAGTATTCTATAGCTTACTTGATAATTGCAAGGTTCTTAAGAATAAAACAAAGTCAGTTTAGGCTGCATTATGTCATAGACGGCTTTCTTCATAAAAATATCTTTTATTATGAGAATACATTTGGAAATGAGCAGTGATGAAGAATTTTATTTACTTGATTTTCCAAGATGTATGCACATGATGGTAATCCTTTCAGAAACAGTAATTTACTTTGAGTTGCATAGTCATCGTTAATTTCTTCCTAATCTGATGTTCGTCGGACTTTAATTTTGGGTTAACTTTATACTGTCTATTACCATTATGTAATGTGAGTAATTATTGTTTTCTATGCCGTTGCCTTGGAACCGAAATTCCGGTTTCCAGTATCTTTCCATCACTTAGTACTTGCTGTATAATACTTGCAGAGGAAAACCAACAAACGGGCTGGAGAAGCAGTCGGAGAAGCCAGAACTGCAGGTGAACATGGTAAGATGAAGGTGATAAAGATAATCAAATATCACTAGCAACAACAACAATTAGCACCAGTCACCATCAACAGGAGAGATTCGACAAAGGTAACTTCCTTCAGTTATCCAGGAAGTACAATTTTAACTGTAACTGGAACAGACAGAGATGTCAAAGTCAGAATCAAAAAGACGATATACGCCTTTATCAGCCTGAACCCAGTTTGAAAATCTTATGCACTCAACCGGCATACAGAACGATATAAGGATTTTCAACAAAAACTTGAAGTCAGTCACTTCTGCTATATGGGTCAGAAACGTGGCCAGTGCTTCATGAAAAGGATTTTCAACAAGTAGCAAACTGTTATCAACAACAGCCTCCGCTGGCTCCAAGCTGAAGATCAAATAGTCAACCAGAAAGAATCAGCAGCAAGAGACTGTGGGAAAAACCAACCAAGAGTCAACTGCTAAACAAATATGTAGGAGAAAATGGAGATGGATCGTACATACTTTGTGGACACCATCGAAAGAAATCGCACACTGACCATAGCTTGAATGGAATCCCATTGTGAAGTGATGAGTGAGTTGTCTGAAGTTGAGATGAGGGAGATCATTCTAGGAGGAGATGAGAGGTTTATGGCAATCATGAATTAGCTGAAGAGGACAACATCAAATAAAAAGAATAGAGATGTGTTGCTGAAGCCCCCTGTTCCACTAGAGACCTAAGAGAATAATAATACGTGATGTTTTATTCCGTTTTGAATACCGGTTATTCCAGTCTATTTCAATTTGAACTGAGCAGTTATGCAAATCACACTCGAAGAAGTCATACTTTTTCTCATATTGACCCACACTGACACAGCATCTGACGACATACAGTATAGGCACTTCACAATGTGGGGTTTGCAGATTAAACGTGTTACATCTTAGTGATCGATAGCACATTTTAGAAATATTCTTTGATTGTGATCTTACGCATGACTTAAATCTTCGCCCAAATTATTCAAAAAATTGATCACAAAAAACCGTTCGGGATCCGTTAACAGAAATTCACTGTCTTTTCTTTCCAGTATTCAGTTTAGTTAAGTAAGTCAAATATGTGAGAAACACAAAAACATTCTTCGATTTGAAGTTATCTATGTACTTCGTAAACCTTTGTGCCATTGATAGCATATATTTCGTCTGAAAAAATTTCGCCAATAGTTAAACTATGAAATTATGATCCATTTCGAAATTTTACTTTAATGTGTTCAAGGACTTCATGAAAATTGTTGAGATTCAAAGCGGAATTTGATCACTTGTATACTCAATATTGATTTCCATAACCATAAACAAAGTCAATATATATGCATACATTTGCGAAACAATTTAAACCTTTTCTAAGGCACATACATCTAAAGCTACTCATAACATAAGGTTAGTAAACTAATGTCGTGTCCTCTCTGCTCGTTATGTTTGAATTAATTTATTCTTGAGTTTACTTAAATATGAATGAATGGATGATATCGATTATGGTCCAATTCCCATGACAGTTGATGGGCTTTATTCCCTTTAAGACAAGCAACAAAGGTTAACAGGCCAGGATTTATTAACTTCATTAATTTTCAGTACAACTTTACAGCTGAATACTCTACACACAGAGATATTCACACAATTAGAATAACATTACTGGATGAAAGGCTGATAAGCGAATGAACTAAAGTGAATCAATAATGCGGCACGACAGGTGGGAATCTTTTTCAGGTCATGTTCACATAGAAAAGTGGGAGTTTAGGAGATTGATTTAAAGGTTATAACGATTCATGCCTTAACTACTTCATACAAGTGAACAACTAGTTACCAGAGAATGAACTTGAAAATATCAAGCATTGCAAACTTATCAATTTCGATAGTGATGCTACAGAAAATAATAGTAATAATACCAGTAATACTAATTAATAATAAAGTTAAAACCAGTTGCGATAATGCTGCTGATAAAGGATTGTTTTAAATGAATCAGGGATATCAATAACAGGTGGAATAATTAAGGTTTTAATAGTCATAACAATTCAAGAATAAAACACACTACGTTGGAAGATACGGAGTGACTACCATTCCCTTCGGTACGTTGAGGCTAGGTAAATAAACTCCAATTACACAAGCCTTCATAATCGCCAGCATCTTCGTGTTTGTTATTTGTTGGCTGGCAACAGTAAGTGACTTCACATGGTCAGTATTCTGTCTGTAGGCAACAGGATACTTGGTCAACGAACATTTTGGCACTTTGACTTCGCATGTTTTCAACCACTTTGGCAAGTAATTCATCATTCGAGCCGACAGCTGGCTTTCCATTCAATCATTAATTTGTTTTCACAAAGACATTCAGAAGGAAATATTCAGTTCCAGATGTCAATGGATAGAAATCTGTTTTTCCCAGATTACTGAAGTACCCGTTTAGTGATGTTAAGAGTTAGAAGTTTCACGGAGTAATAAATTCTTATGATAGCCTCATGAATTCCATTTATTTCATTTACGCGAAGAAAGTATCAGTCGAGAAGAAAAAGGAAGTTGTTTTCTATAATTTTTTGCTAGATGTATGAATGCAGCAAATACCAGTTATGGCTGAATGATATCTACATTCACTCTGCAGTGGTTTTTTCACTGAGGCAACTGTTATTCACACTTCACATTTCAACTCTTCTAGCAATGAGACACCTTTTGATGCCTTATTTACAAATATCGACTATTTCCAAAATGTGGACAATCTCATTCTTATAGAAATGCATTTAATTTTGCTAGTTCGTCATGATTACTTTCGTGTTTTCATAATATAATCGAAATCGTATTCATGTTTTACATTCTATTTAAGCGCATTCGTGCATTTGATGATACATTTCCCCCTGTCAAAAATGAGATTAGGTGTGAATGACGAATTGTCTCCAAGCACTGATTTAATGTTTTGAAAAGTGTTATGTTGGAAACAATGGTCATATTCATTCACTTAAAAATAATAGTCTTTTCAACATTTTAAAAGTTTAACATTACGAGACTTATGTTCGACACTTATATTCGCACATTATTGAACGGTTTCAATTCTGTCGTCACCTTTATTTCTATTTACACATTTCAGTTTAATCAAGAATGGTAGGCCTTCCTCCATCTTTTGTCAGTCCGAAGATAAGGAGTCAAGAACTACAAAAACCTTTTCCCAGATACTATATTTCGGTAAGAATATCAGGATTTGTTAAATAAGCTATTTTATTCTTAGTTGATAATCGATATCGCGGTCTTCATACTGGTGACAGTGATTTTAGTCGTCTTGTTTGTGCTTGTGTAAGGTTGCATTGAAGAAACGAATAAAATCGTATCTTGCTTTCTAGGAAGGGTATTCCAGAGTTTTTAAAGCAACATTCCTACTTGGTGTTTACCATAATGTAAGTCATCTATTGAACATTTTTATTTACAATTCCAATTAACTACTCCTGAAAAAGATGAGAAGTGTAATTCATTCATAACACAACATCCTGCTTTATTTGCCTAAACTGTTACACTGCAATAACCTTTGTGAAAGGTATCAGTTAGCTTGAAGAAAAGAATTCGCAAAGCCTTCATTTCATAGTGTTTTATCAAGTAGACTATTTGGTCACTAGGTCTGACGGAATCTTCGAAGCATTAGTTGTTGTGAACACCAAGTTAGGAATGCTAACGTGAGAAATATGCAATGCAACAACGAATATGCCACTCACTAACACTTGCATCAATGATTCCGTCAATACGACTGAGAAGATAACAAATAAGTAAGGTAACCTTTTGATTCTTGTATTGCTTACTGATTTAGAGTCAGCTTTTTATTCACTCCATGTGTTCCGAATCGAAAAGAAGGCTTCACACTTGAGATCCCAGTGCTTCAGTATGGTTGGTGTTGTTTTCTACATGCAAGGTTGCTATAACCTTGTTCAGCCTTTCATTTATACCAGGCTTACCACCTGGCCAGCAGATCATGTGAAGTCATTGAATGCATCCATTATGAATTCAACGACAAATCTCGTGCGTGGTCAGTGAGCATTCTACTACCAAGTCACTGACTCACAAGATTGATTATTCACTCACAATTAACAAAACCCTTTTTGGTGATACAATACTTCCATTGAACTCATTTCAACTAGTGTTAAGTGAAATGAGGATGAGTATCATGTACATTATATGTTAGACTTTCAGATTCATTTTGAAATCTGCCTTCACATATGCTAACTGAACAGTAATCGCCGGAAAGCACATTTCTCTCGACCATCAGAGAGCTCGATTTCGCATAAATATGCATGTTTATAATTGGTAAATATGGAGAAGCAGTCTTCAACAAACATCTTCATATCTTCATGCTGAAACCATAGTCAGCACGTGTGAAGGAAACAGTGTATCATTGCGTTCTGTTTTCAATACAAAATCGGTACTGCGCTCTGTCACAATGATCAAATTAGACTGTTAGATCTGTCTTCATAACCAAGGACTGATCTTATAAACCACGGTTCAAGTGTAGAGTATTCCATTAAGCAAATAGAGGAGATTTCATTATTATCACTTCTATTGAAATTATCACGTAATGAATTATTTCAATTACGTGCTAGTTAGGATGAATATGTGATGTTTGTGAATTCATTTTAGGTTAGTCGTCACCATTTTATTTCTTGTTTTTGCATTCGTGATGAAAATTCGGTCGAATATTATCATCGTTCGTATAATGCTTTGGATTATAGTAAGTATCAGCATTACGTTACCGTTTATGAAACCATGAGAATTGGTTAATGTTTTTCTATGAAAAATTAAACGATGGCTGTGTCATTTCAAAAATGGCCATAGCAATGTTTACCTTATCAGTGATATTGATTGTACCGCTTCTGATGCATACCGTTTTCATCTTCATGGCAGCCATGCTGCTGCTGCTGGATTCAACATAGAACTGGGCACCGAAAGCTAGCACTTCGAGTTGCCACGTTCCAAATAGCACACAAAGGTAGACAAGAAAATGAGTGAAGAGAATCAATAGAATTTAGACAAGTATAAGAGTGGAACAGAATGAATAATGGTAGAAAGGAATATGAAAGATTACAGAGACTGAATGTATCTGCGCCATTGACAACGATTTTGAGCCATGTCACCTAGTGCCTCCAGCCATTGATTCTTAGAGTTTCGAGGGCGGGCCCCAACCCGGAAGTCTGTATCCTACCTGACTCAGTTTAACTGTCAGGGATTTCATGGATTGATGCCATGTTTTTGTTTGGCCATCACTTACTCTTTTCCAACCTGTACCTATATCAGCTAGTAATGCACGTCGGGGGAGGCGATGGTTAGGCATGCGCAGCACGTGACCTAGCCATCTCAATCTATGTAACTTTATAGTCTCGTCGACTGATTTTCCCTCTTTGCCCAACCCTCTACGCCTAACATCAACATTACTTACCTTATTACACCATCTAACTTGAGAAAGAGATCGTAGACATCTATGATCAAAAACAGTCAACCTTTTCATGTCTTCAACTCGTATTGGCCATGTTTTAGAGCCATAGAGAAAGACGGAGCGAACTGCTGAGCAGTATACACGTCCCTTGGTTGATAGCCGGATGTCACGCCTACGCCAGAGATGGCGTAAGTTAGCGAAAGCAGCCCGAGCATTTTGGATCCGTGCTGAGATTTCGTCACCAATCAATCCGTTGGTGCTGATACAACTTCCCAGATAGGTAAAGTGGTCAACATGTTCTAGGAGTTGACGTAGTCCAGCCCTATAGCAGCATCTTACATTTTACAAGGGTGAATCGCATGCCAAACATACAAAGATTGCTGCTCCTCAAGGTGTTCAGAAGACTCTGCATTTTGTCAGCATCCTCCCATAACAGGACTATGTCATCTGCGTATTCTAAGTCTACAAGACTATTCGCTGGTAACAAGTCGATTCCTAAGTCGTTAAGTTCAGTTAAGGATACTTCCATTAGCATATCTATGATGAAGTTAAACAGAAAAGGGGTAAGTGGACATCCCTGGTGGACACCACTGATTGTTATCAATTCAGATGACAATTCCCCATAAGCCCTTACATGGCTACGTGAGTTTGAGTAGAGTGCCTTGATTAGTGCAATGTACTTTCTTGGCACTCCCTTCACAGTCGAAAACTGCCATAGTACCTCTCGATCCACGGAGTCGAAGGCCGCCTTCAAGTCAAGAAATATGGCAATTGTTGGACGCCTAAAAGCCATAACAATAACTAGTATGTTTGTTTAACATAAGCTATGAGAAAATATATGACAGTTTAAAGGGAACCATACCTCTAAACATTTGTGAATTCTCAAAGTAATACGACTGATGCAAGCATGATAAACACTAATTCAAATGGACGTATGACTTTAACATTGACAAGTGGAATCAATGCATAACGATACACGATGTACTCAAGAAGTTTAATAGGTGAACATGTGCAGTTGAAACACCATAATCACCAGTCTGCAAAAAACAAATGTGGACATTTTCTGACCCCGATTCACTGAAACCACTTTCATATATGTAGTTCGCTTTAATGGGGGATAAACTTGCCTGCTCAATTCAGATTCTAACTATACTCGGTTTCATTCTATTCCATCATACATTGATGAGGTTATTTAATATTTGTGTAGTTATTTCGTCCTGATGCATCAGTATGGCGATTCAAGACCTTTTACCCCCAATACAATATGGTATCCAATAATGATGATATTACGAAATTCCACAGTATATTGAATCTCATACTTTACTTTGCTTCCACATCCGATATAACGTTTACGCACAACTGAGGAATATCTCACCTATACTGCCAATCACGCAGACTGCTTGTGTGTGAAACGACTTGTTGTTTTGTGAATTTTTCTTGACGAGGATAATAATGGCATCCATCTGTTAGAAAGAAAGTGGGAAATACTGCATTTGAAATTTGCCTAATTAACCCAATATCTTGTCATTTTTCATACATTAATTCCTTATTGGTATTATTATTTTCTTTATGTAGGTCATTTTGTGGTCTGTGGTCTTTGCCACTGTGATCGGATCTATTGAGTGGAAATGTGCTCTGATATCATTGGCTGTAACGATTATGGCTACAGTGGTGATTGCCTTATTGGCTTTCAACCTGCCTCCATTGAGTGAAAAGGGGTTCATCTTCTTCTGTACTATATCAGGGCTACTTGGAGTTTCAGCTATCGTTGCAAGGATTTGGAATTACTGGACCACTGAATCAAATACTGTAAATTGCATTAATTTAAATTATAGGGACTTACGCATTATATTTATGAGAAGAGATGAAATTTGCACACCATTCTAAAATAGTTTACCACCTTCGACTTTTTTTCATATTAGTGATAAGTACATTGGACAATGAAATATCAGCTGGACAAAAGGCATCAGATACTACAGCTCTTTGCTTCAATTAGATTCCTATTGCCCACCACATTTATGAGTTTTGATCGATTCGTTTCATTAGGTATTATAAGTAATTATCAAGAAATTCACCAGATTCCACACTAACTAGTTCAAATTTATCCTCAGTCTAGTTGCCTGATCTTTCACTGAGGGCTGGTGATAAGAAGTGAGTTGACATATATGATTAGTAGCTTTTGTGCAATGCTGCGACAGACAGTAATATACTTCCCATTCATCCATAAAATTATTGGCATTTTCACCTGCACTATTGGGCATGTAACACGAAGAGTTCTTACTGAAAATGTTACTTGGCATTTTATATGGTTTATAACTCCCCATTTCTGCATTGAATGATATTTGAGCATGTTTCGATACATTTTATTGGCTACATCTTAGAATTAGTTATTTTGTTAAATATTTCAATATGAGAATTCGTAAAGAGAAAATAAACTTGTGTATACTTTTGTGAAATTGTCATTTTTACTGCATTTCTCAAACTCAGGTACTCTGCATACTGACAGCAGTTTCAGTCGGATTAGTTATACTCTCTGTAAGTTTTTTTGATTTATTCAATGTGCACAATACTATTACTCTTGCAATTAAATCACGCACAGCACATCAAGTGCTTGGTAGTGGTAGAATGATGACGAAAATCATTCATTTTACCGGTATTGATGTGTTTGTCCTTTTTATCTCAATTGAAAATTTAACGCACAAAAAGATGTTGAAAGCAGATTCAAACTGTACTTGACAATAACATCTCAATCAGTGGATTGCTAAACTTATTGTGGAATTCGTAGACCAGAATTTTGAAGATCAGGCGAGTGTAATCCAGAGTACATATGAATAATTGTCACTAATTGTTATTAGTTTTGAATGACTTTCGTGAATGCAATCACACTATGAGTAAATAGAGTTTAGGCTTTTACGAAATTTTTGTAAATCACTGCAGGCTTCATTTCATGTTGACTTTGAGCTGCTGTGATCCCTGCAGTTGATGCAAAGTGCAAAAATATGTTGATATGCAAATTTTCATACGACTTTCATTAATTATTCATGTAATATATATTTGATGAAGACTATATACATTCGGAAATGTATTATGATACCGCTAAGCGGCGATGTGGAAGCTTCGTTCTATAGTTATTCAGCCAAACTGATTAATTTATGATTCTCAATGATTCCGATATTCATATGAGTTCTCTAGTCCTCATTAGGCATATTGACACATTTGATCAGTAGTTCTAGACACAAAAACTTTGTGCAATATGATTGAACTGAAATCTTACTGTCACAATAATGAGGCAGGCTTGAGGATTTTAGCTAACATCAGTCAGGGTCATCTGCCATACAGTGATTGCTGTAAAGTTGATGTTCTTGTAGTGTGTTTGGTGAAGACTTCTCAAACAGAATAAATGACAAAAGACAAAACTAAATAACCAAAATGACACACTGTGGTCATGTACATTCATTTCGAGATGCATGCGAAACGTGCGAATTATTCAAAGGATCATTCATTTCCAACTAGGGTCAATGATAACTGCCTCTATTGCAGAATGAAATTTGATTATGAATTCGTAAAATATTTCGTCAGTAGTTGAGTCGTGTAGACTGCGTTCTAAAGAATATATCCAACTGGTAATTTGTGATCATAAAATTAAAATGCAGTTTCACTATGGAATGTGAATTTCAATAAAATTAATTTTAATGAAAATTCGGCTTTTGTCACTGAAAGCTTATTATTGCTTTACAATTTAGGTGATGTTCATTTGTGTCAATATCGCAGGATGGATAATGAGGTGGTTTGCTCCCGACACTACCGAATTCACTCTTGCCTTCATCATTTGGTTTCTAATGGTAAACCTCTTCACACAAACATATGACAGCTTAAAATCTTGTGGATTCAAACTGTGTGCAGTTGAAGACAACGAACGGTTACTTGTGTAATGTTTTTCGGAATATTTTCGCTGAACGGGCATCACCACTAAAATTAATGCATCAAAATATCTACTTCTTCATAACAAAGTATATGATTGATTTTATCTGTGTTAACGTCTTTTGTGTATTGCGAAATTGCAAACTTCATATACATTAAATGCACAAATATAAACGAAACTATCAGTAACAAATATGCTTCTAATTCTGATTGTTTTCCGGACATTTGTATTCTAAAATGATGCGTGATACGAAATTTTCTAGAAAAAGTCAACCGAAATTTGAAAACTGATTTGTTTCTTAGCAGATTGTACGCACATTCAATTTGTTCAGATAGTTTTATGGCAGGAAAATCATTCAATTTTCATCCTTACATGTTAGAGGATTAAATGCGTATCCCATTCGACTGACACAGACGTACAAATGAATTCGACATTTAGACACTGCACATACAGTTTCTTCAAGAGGAATACCTAGGAGTGGTGTAAACCAGGTAAACACCTGAAAACATAAATGAAACATTCCAAAATCTATGCAACACAAGAGGAACCATCTCCTGTAACCAGTGCTTGGTCTTTAAATGTCAGTGAAATGAATGAGTTGCATATGAGAATACTGGTTCTTTTAACATTCCTATGTCTACTCTTATCAGTTATTGTGGTTTAACTTATGAAGGTAAAGTGTGCTTATAGAAACATGAAATTGTCTTCAACATCAGAATCGAGTGTGACACAAAGTTAACTGAATTGAAATACTGGTGAGCTTATGAAAACATTCGCGATTACAGAAATGATAGAGAAGGACTGCTGCTCGAGTGGACGGTTCTCTGAACTGGGTGGTAGTGATAAAGTCGTTCTTAAAAATCAATGTAAGTGAAAGTAAACATAAAATTGCCACAACTTGTAAAACTACACGTATCAAGAACATAACACATTTGCGAATCACCAAAAATACTCATTGGGTCATGAAGAAAATAAAACAAAAATAAGCGTTGAAAAATTTTCTGTATCGACTAAATCATCTTCAGAGGCTGTACGGCCATGTTTACATTTACCAAAAATGTAAAGTAGTCTATTGTTCAGTAATAGGGCGTGACGTATTATGACATATCGTTCTGGATCAATCACAGAAAAAAATCCGTTATTCAGTTTTGTCAGGAAAGCTGAATATGTAAGAACCACGAATAACCTGACTGAACTGAAATGATCTCTGTCCTTCGAAAACCTTTACACCATTAATAGCATATATTCCATTTGAAAAAATATGTTAATTTTTCAACTAACCTATTTCTCCTTTTTTGCATGGCGATATTTCACTTAGATGTGTTTCAACATTTCATAAATAATATACACAATCTCAGACAGAAAAGAATTTGATCACTCAGTATGCTGAATTGCGAATTCGTTAACCATGAAAAAAGTCAAATTACATACATATTTATGCACGAGAAAACTTGAAAGTTTTCTAAGGCACATATATCTGAAGTCAGAAATCAATTAAAGTGAGTGAGTTGTCGCTATATCTAATCAGGAGTTTGTAATTTGATTCGTTCATTCCTGAGATTACTTAAATATGAATGAATAGATGGTATCCATTATAGTCTGATGCTGATTACAGCTGACGTGCTTTATTCTATGTATGACAAGCAGCGAAGTTCAATAAAGCGAGATTGGATAAATTCATCAAACATTGAAAGAACTATTTAGTTGAATACTCTACACACACACAGAGATGTTCACCCCACTAAATTTACATCGGAAGATAAAATGATTGATGAGGAAATAAGCAACACGGAAGAAAGCGCGCAAAACTATCGGTGTGAATTTTTTCCGATCATGTTCACATTGGGAGTGGAATGATGTTTTAGAGACTGATATTGAGAAAATAAAGATCTCTAGCTCATCTACATCACTTAAATGAAAAATCAGTCATCAGAGAAAGTGCTCGGATATATTAAGAACTGCAAACTGATTTTAATCATAATGTTAAAGTGGAGTTAAGGAAATGGCACTGATAGAGGTAGTTTTAAATGAATCAGGCATATTAATAAGAGGCACAATAAAATGTACTATTAATAGTAATAACAGTTAACAAGTAACACACGTCACTATGGTAGATTCAGAGTGACGAGTATTTACTTCTGTGCACAGAGGCCTGATTTACAAACTCTAATCGCCAAAGCCTTCACATTTACAGCCTTTGTGTTTGTTTTTTATGGCTGACAATCGTGAATGACTTGACAGCATCAATGTTACGTCTATTGCCAACAAGATTACTTCCTATTAAAATTCACCTGCTTTCAACCGCTTTGACAAATACTCTATCAGTCAAGCAGACAATCGCTTATAGGTACGATCCCTAATGTTTCATCACATACACAATCAAACTGAATACACTCAGTTCCAGTTGTCAATGAATGCTAACTGGTCTGTTCCAGATTGTTGAAGCACTAGTTTATTGATTCGAAGGAAGACGAGTTTCGCAGCATCATAAACTCTCCTCACAGTTTAGTCAAGTGAATTTAATCCATCTGCACGATGAACATTTTAAGTTAAGAATAATAAAGATATTATCTTTCGATTATTCGTATTATATTTTGTGATTGAGTTGAACACCTATAGGTTTTGGATGCTGTTCAAGTTGACTTTCAAGGGACTTAATATGTAGTAGACTAGTATTCACATTTAATCCGCATCGTCTGACTCATTACATAAACTCGCACTCTATTTAACTATATGCAGATAAAGTCACTCTTATAGAAATTGAATTGATTTGTGATAGTCAGTCATGATTACTCTCGTGTATTCAAAATATAATCAGAGTTTTATTCAGATTCCATAAATTATTGAGGCATATTCGTGCATATAATAAAAACTTTCCCCCTGTCAAAATGCACAAGCAAACGTAAATAGCAAATGTCATTATTCACTTCTGAAAAATGTATTGTTGGTAACAATGATCATAATCTCTTAGGAATAATATTGGTTTAATTATTTTAAAAATCTAAAATTACCAGACTTCCGTTCATCACCTACATTTGCACATTACTAAACTGTTTGCATCATTTTATCACCGCTGATTCTATCCACAGATTTCAGTTTAATCAACAATAGTATGTTTGATTACACCTAATTTCAATGCAATGATTAAGAGTCAGGAAACACAGAAGCCAATTTTCGCCAACGTTGCTTCAGTAACAGTATCGAGATTTGTTAAATAAGCTTATTTATCCTTATTTCCCCATCGATATTGCCCTTATGATACTGGTGACAGTCGGATTGGTGGCCTTGTTTGCCACTGAGTAAGACTAAATTTCAGGAGATAATAAAATGATAACGATCAGCCATCGCACTGTATCCACTCCCTTATCATCACAAAATAGGGTGGGGCGGGGTAACAATAGTGAAAATTAATATAGTTAGATGGAGAGAAAATGCGACCACAGAATGTTTGTTTATCGATTCAACATGGCACACGTGCGATCTGGCTGACGCAACGCCTTAACTGGAGATAAGGAAAGTGGCGACAAAACAACAAGACGAAGTTCGAGAGAGAGAAAATGAGAAAATATAGATAAGAAAAATTGTGAAACCCTGAGACTAATAGGATATGATTTATACACGAAACGTCATCCAGTTGCTAATTCAGTCCAGTATGTTACAAGAATAATTGATGTTCCCAACAGATTGGCACAATCGGAGAATCAAGCCCGACCATGAAACATGCTCCATGTAAGAGGAACACTAAAGCGTCGCTTGTTCCTAGTAAACTCGTGAAAATGCTACAAAATGATTGAGAAATCTGCCCAGTATATACGGACTCATTACCAGGCGATATTGTTCACTTGTTGAATATCAATGAAATTAATCAATTCTACATGAGATCACGGTTTCCTTTGAAATCACTTTCCACTGTTTTACGTATAAAAAGTGGTTTCAGTAACCGAAATAGACAGTTCGTGTAGACTGAGGAAATTGTTATCAGCATCCAAATCGAGGGTAATCTAAGATCCCCCGCTTACCTTTTTCTCAATGAACACAAATACTTGAGAGAAAATGAAGTCTTGCGTATTCAGAGAGATGATATAGAATATCTGTTGCTCAGATCGACAGTTCTCTGAACTGTGTAGTTTAACAGCATGGTTTTCACCATCCATCTAGGGTTCTACATAATCGAAGTTATGCTGAAAATATTTTCGGTCAGCTGGATTATATAAGTCAAGCAATATTTTCAGCCGAATAACTGTAATTAAATTAAGCATGAAATCACCTGTCGCGAAAGGTAACCAGGGGATAAATCGAAAATCCGACTGAACACATATACTTCATGTTTAATTCAAGACCACGGCTCCAACCGTTTAATATAAAGCAAATGCAATGAATGTTTTACTTTATTTTGGCTGGTTATCTCAGAAGCCTGAAGATTTGGTCACTGAATGTTATAACTGAGTGCATCTCACTTCATCATAACACTTGAGGCTTTTCCCAGTTAGACAGTGTTCATGTCATGAGAAACAAATTTATATTTATGTGAAGATTATGTGATGACACTGACTTATTGTGCTTCACTGATCAGCATAATGTTTCTGCCTCGTGAATAGTATACTCAATCAACAACTGTTTTCAGAATTCAACACTCATTATCTCCCACTGGAATGGATATATAAAGACTAGAATGAGTGAAAAGTTCATGTATTGATATGATAATAATCAGAATGTACCTATGATCGTCGATAGCACTGCTCATTTCACATCAATTGGTACATTTTGCTACTGTCTTCTGAAGCACACAGAAGCGTTTATATATTATAATTATAAGAGTGTGTGTCGAATGATACAGTGGTTGTAAACATTCGAAGTAACTGCAAGCAGATATCGGAG